GCTGAGTATGATGGCACACTCTTGTCATCCCAGCAAAGGCAGGAGGCATAAAATAGGAGGAGCTCAGTCTAGGCCAATCTGGACCAAAAAAAAAAAAGACCCTATCTCTAAAACAACCAGAGCAAAAAGGGTAGGAGGCATGGCTCAAGTGGTAGCTGCCTAGCAACCATGAAGCTCTGGTTCAAACCCCAGTACCACCAAAACAATAAAAATTTAAAAATAACCAAAACAAAAATGGCTGATAGAAAGGCTCAAGTGGTACAGTACCTGAGTTCAACTCCTATTAACACCAAAAAAATAATCATAATAAAGGACAGTATGATGGACAATGTCCTAATGGAGACTATCCAAAAAAGACAGAAATCATTAAAAAATCAAGCAAGTGGTCCCAGACAGCAATTTAAATCTACACACACACACACACACACACACACACACACACACAGAGCCAAAAAGCACTGGTAAAAGTTACTATGGAAACATAGTAAAAGCACAGTTTATGTGTATATTTTTCTCCTTTCTTTCCTTAACTAATCTGAAAGGCAAATTCATAAAATATGCAATATAATGATGGGCACACAACATACAGAAAATTAATATACATGTAATATGTTTGCCAATAATTGCACAAAGGAGGTGGGTAGAAGTAAAACTACACTGGTCTAAGAAAAGAACTACAGATATTAAAGCATTAAAAACCACAATGCAGGGGGGAGAAATCACCCAAACATTGTATACACATATGAATAAAATAAAAATTAAAAAAAAGAAAATACAAACAGCAAAAGCAGAGCAACATCCAATCAACTCAAGGCATAGATCCGTGTCTGGGATGGTGTCTGGAGCCCAAGCACCAGGTGGGCATTTTCCCTGGCAACATCTAGAGAAAAGGGCCCTCAGAGACTAGCTAGGTCACTCCCTTGTGTTCCAGAGGTTGGGATTTGAGTCCTATTTAGCCTATTTGCTGGGGTCCTGCAGCTACAGCCCATGGTGCTCCTATCTGGCCCATCTTCCTTGCTCAGGACTTACTTTATGTACAAAACACATTGCTCTCTAGCTTAGAGAAGATACACACAGAGGCTGAAGGCACCTCTTAACTGTGTTGCTCCATCAGATGTCAGTGTGTCCTCTAAATGGGCCCTCTGGAAGGATGCTCGGCCCCACACTAAGCCTGTGGGACTAGATATGGGAAGGTCAAGGGATAAAAGTAGGAAGGCCAGGTCAGGACCCTAACCAAAAGCTTGGTCACAGGGAAGGAGAGAGGAGGCTGGCAGGCAAGGAGAGTGTGATAGCCAAGTCAGGGAGCCCTGACTCTGCAAACTGTGTGTAAGTCTCTGATGTCACACAACTTCTAGAGTGTTTGGTCTCCACCAACCAGGTTAAGGGTCAAACTCAAGTGCGTGTTTCATAGAGAGGGTCTGACAGCCTGAAGGATGTGGGAGGTAGGGAGTCATGGGAGGAGGCTGCTGGGCAGTCAGGCCTGAACCTTGGCAGGAATGGCAGAGAGGAAGAAAAGAACATGCTAGGGAAGAGGATGAGGGAAGGGTAGTGGGTGATTCCTAGGAAGATGGGCATGGTGCCCCCAGTACTAGACTGCAGCACAGGAAAGAAGGCCAGCTTCAGGGCTGTTGATGAATAGGCTGAGTGTGTGCTGCCTTTGAGACACTGAGCTGGGAGAGAGATCCACCCCTACAAGCAAACAGATAGTGGCTGCAGTTCAAGAGGCCTCAGAGATAGGAGAGAAGGCAAAAGGCCTGAAGGGAATGCTGGAGACATCGGAATTTGGTAGGGATCAGAGAAGCAGAATCCCCTGGCAAACCCTAACCCATGAAGGCACCAACTCACATCACAGCAAGATACATCTGAGTGATCTGCTTATTGCTTTCTTAAGGCCCATGATATGCTCCTCGCTCATTTAAAGGGTGCACCTGCTTCTGGACAATTGACTTTTGTGCCTGTGGAGAGACTCCAGCAAGCCTCAGGTAGGAAGATGGAAACTAACATGAGAGGCATCCAGTTTACTGGCCTAAAGAAGGGAGGCCCTGACTCATAGTTCACTCAACTACTTCTTCACCACCTACAGGACCTGGGCTTTGAGGGGACCCTGCTCACCAACATCCTCTATAGGAATGTAGCCTTCCTTTCAATCTGGTAGACCCCATCTCCCATGACCTACTGGGATGCCAGGGACCTCCAAGAAGAAGAGGCATGGGCCCCAGGCTGAGCAGTATGTGACAAGGGCTAGGAGTCTAGGTCCTTGTGTGGTTTGCTTTGTGGACTTAGGCTATCCCTCTCTGAGATCTGATGCCAGCTTCAAGAACAAGTGTGACTGCTAAGGGGAGAACACATATAGGAAGAATAGGGAAAGGTAGGAAACCCAAAATTTGGAAGTGTTTGATGTCCTCACTGCAGAGGAGCTAATACAGTAACCTTAAAGCAACAGAGCTCAATATGGGAAGGTGACCAGGAAGTAGTGAAGAGGTCTGGGAGAGATGAATCAATTCGGGTTGTAATACACTTGTGCATGGAAGCAATGCTAGGAATCTCTCTGTATAGCTATCCTTATCTCAACTAGAAAAAATGCTATGTCTTTCTTATTATTGCTTATGTCTACTCTTCAATAAAATTGGAGAAAAGGGCAGAACAGATTCTGCCTGGAATCAAGAGGTATGGGGGGAGATGGAAGGGGTGGGGGGCAGCAGGGAGAAACGGCCCAACCAATGTATGCACATATGAATGTGCATACACTGAAAAAAAAAACCACAATGCATTATTGTGTTTGTAACACTTATAAATATAATGTGTTTAACAACAAAGCCACCAAAAAAACAGAAAAAGAGAATAGAGCTATATAGCAATAATAGTTCTATACATCATTGGAATTAAGTCTGATAAATCTGAAGCTAATTCTAGTAAGTTAAAATACATATAGTAAATCCTAATGCAGCCACTAAAAATGCAAAAAACATAATGAAAAATATACTAAAATACAGCAGTGGAAAATATTCACATACTGTAAATCAGAGTAGTAAGGAGTAACGGGAAAAGAAAAAGACATGAGACATATAGAGAAAAAGCAGGGAAAGAAAAGGAACCTACATATTACTAGACTGGATCCTCCTATAAACAAATCAACTTTTCCTAAAAGTATGAGACTGTCAGAGAAATATGAAAACTGAGCAGATTTTTAATTAAAATAGAGAATTACAGAAATAAGAAAAAAGAATAATTCGACAATTCTAGGTATGAAAACTCTATCATCATTATGTTAAAAAAAATTCCCCTTACCTTTTAGAGACAGTTGCTCCTTATTCACAAATTCAGAATTTATGAACTTGCCTACACTAAAATTTATCTGTAATACCAATATCTATATATGCAGCACTTTTGCAGTCATTTACAGACACAAAGTAGAAAAAAATTTGAGTCAAACAATACCATGTTCCCAACTGATCTCAAACCAGGTGACACTGCCTTCTTGCTTCAGCTTTCCTACTGAAAACACAGGAATCCTTAAAACTGATCTCAAACCAGGTGACACTGCCTTCTTGCTTCAGCTTTCCTACTGAAAACACAGGAATCCTTACTGTGATCCATTTACTACCACATTTTACACATTTTTGTACTTGTCATTGATGACTTCACTGTTTAAAGGGATCCTGAAGGGTAGTACTGAACTCCTACTGTTCCTAAGTGAAAGAATGCTGTGATGTGCCTTAGGAAGAAAAGAGTGTGATGGATAGCATGATGAGGCCTGAGATTACACTGCTGTTGGTCATGAGTTCAATGTTTCTGAATCAACAATAAAAAGAAACACACATAAAACAAGGTAATATGTCAATCCATTGACAAAATTGTTGTGACCAAAGGCACACAAGAACCTATTCTTTATTTCCTATAGGAGTAATGGTTCACTGTTTGCTAATCGAGTGTTTGCAGCAACTTTATACAATATAATTATGATGAATAGGCAGAAGTGATGGTAATTAGCAATTATCATTATTATAGGTAAATAGCATGATGTCTGGAATTTGCTTCAAAATAATCCACCGAAGGTCAAGGGAATAGAGGAGCTGAGACAATAAAGATGAAACAAAATTAGCAATGAGTTGATAATTGTTTAAGGTGGGTGATTACCAAATATGGGGGGGTTCATTAATGTATTCTATTTGCCTTTGCACCTCATTAAAAACTTTTTGTAACAAAAAACTGAAACACATGCACATAAACATACTGTTGCACTTGTTGATGCTTTCACTGTTTGATAAATATCATAAAAAACAGAAGCCTAGGCTTACAGAGTCAAGTCAAAAGAGAAAACTCATAACCAAAACCTAAAAGCCTATAGTAGAACAGAAAGCTGCTTTTCAAGAAAGAAGCCCCAAAGAGGTGCTAAGTACCCAATTAGTTAAGTACAAAGAACAGAAACTCATAAGAATCAACATGACTAATCAAGGCCCATCTAACCAAAACCTTGGACCTCAAACTCATCCATGTTCACAACATCTACCTGTAGTATTTCCCTAGAGAAAATGCCCAAAGACTGCTTCCAAAACAACTACTTCCCTGCCAAAGGTCTGTACTATGGTTGTTGGGTAAGTAATAAAGTCAGAAAAGACTTTGGGTTTGCTATTGTTTGGATCCGGAATGTCCCCCCAAAAAACATGAATTAAAGGCTTGGTCCCCATTTTGGCAGAATTGGGAAGTGGTGGAAAGATAAGGCTCCACCACCATTAGGTGGAGCCTAAAGGAAGGTTTCAGGTCACTGGGAGAATGTCATCAAGGGGACTGTGGGACACCGGTGTTATAGTTGAGATACCACATGTCTTCCAAAGGCCATATGCTAAAGTCTTGGTCTCTAGTCTATGGTGCTACTGGGAGGCCAGGGAACCTTCAGGAGGTGGGGCCTAATGGAAGGAAATTACATCACTGGGGGCATGCCCATGAAGGGAATACTAGAACTCTCTTCCTCATCATGGTCTTCTCCCACTCCCTCTCACCTTTCTGGCTGCTATGAGGTGAGCAGCTTGGCTCTCCCATGTACTCCGCACCATGATGTTCTGCCTCACAACAGGCCTAAAAGGAACAGAATCATATGACCATGGAATAAAACCTTTCAAACCATAAGCCAAAATAAATCTTGTCTTCTTTACATTGATTTTTCTCAGGTATTTGGTCACAGTAACAGAAGCTAACTAACATAGCCAGTCTCTTCCTCTCTTTGCTTCCCAGACACCATGCAGCTTACTCCATCACACACCTGCCTGCCATGATGTACTTGTCTCACCACAGGCACAAATGCAACAATGCCAATGGACTATATGGACTGAAACTTCCAAAAATGGAAATCTCATGTTTCCTCTTTTTAAATTGATTTATCTCAGGTATTTGTTTCAGTAATGCAAAGCTGACAGCACAGGACCTAACTCATTTACTACAGTGAAGTCTATCCACCATACAACTTTCAGAAAAATCTACTGATAAGTCCCTCTCCAGTCCTTACAAAAATCTCACAGGCAATAAGTCCATTCAGAGAAACCTTCTAATAAACAAGTAACACAAAATGCAAAGCAAACACAAATGAGAAACATATCTATATTAAGCAATATGGATTTTCATACATAAACATGAACTGTCAGTAAAAGTCATCATACATTTAAAGAAAATCATGAGCAGCAAATGCAAAGACTAGAAAGAACAGATAAAGTTACCTGATAGAAAACAAATGACAAAAAACAGGGAAAAATTTAAAAATTGTAATTAGAAAGATTAAAAAGTTATTCAACTAAACAATACTGCTTTTAAAAAGGAAAAATCAAGTAAGTTTTAGAAGTAAAAATTTGATCCCTAAAATTGAAAATTTCAAATTAGTCCATTCAGAATGCTATAATAAAATATTCTCAATTGGGTATAAACAATAAATACTTTATTTCTTATTGCTCTGGAGGCTGACAAGTTCAAGATCAAGGCATCAACAGACAGTGTCTGATGAGGGCATGCTTGTCACATGGCAGAAGGGACAAGAAGCTCTCAAGACTTTTTTTTAAGTCACTAATCCCATATGACACCATCCTCATAATTTAAATCACCTCATAAAGGCCCTACCCCTTAATAATATCACATTGGGTAGCAGGTTCCAAAATACGAGTTTAGGGGTGGGAGATACCAACATCAAAATTACCAGAAAAGTTTATGTTTTAAAAATTCATGGATGCATCCCTAGAGACTCAATAGATTGCAAAAGTCCAAGTGTTCTGTATTTTAATAAAATCTCCAATTATATCTTGTACACAATAAATTTTGAGAATCATGACTATAAAGCAGTAATTTCCAAAAATTTCATTATACATCTTAAACAGTAAAATGCCTTCTGAGTGCCCACCTCCCAACGTATACTTATTTATAAATTATATGCATGTACTTTTATACAAATATATACTGAGTATATAATAAATATGAAAAATTGAAATTGAAAAGTATGAGGAAAATGGCCTACTGGCATTTTAATATTTGCTTCTGATCAACCAGAGGAAAGTAAAAATTAAGAGCAGATTTTTAAAAGTTGAAAAAAATTAACAAATGAAAGGAGTGAAGGATAAAGAAAAAAACACAGAAAAGATAACTGAAGTTCTAAGGTTTCTCTAGAAAGCTTATCGTACTTCAAATAAAAAATAGAGAGAGATCAAGAGTGATTACATTTTATCTCAAGGATGGTTGAGAAAGCAACAAAAGTGCTTCAACAAAAGACTTATTTCTAATTATCAAAAAGAAAAAAATGACTGATGAATTAGCCATGCAAGCAAAATGAGGAGAAACTAATTATACTATTTTATATACCACAACAATCAAGGATCCTAAAATAAGACATGTAGCCCAGATTTCAGCATGTCAAATTAGACAATATTGGAATGATCCCAGGGCTAGAAACTCCAAAGGTGAATACAGTTCAGGTTATCAAAAATGATGTTCAGATTACATGATTATGATTCCAATAAAGAAAAATTTAAAAGGAAAAGGTATCCATATGTTTAGCTTCTCATTTAGGAAATATAATGAAATCTATTTAATAGGAAAGCAAGTGTTTTAATGACTGTGCTAAACGTCATGGGACTACTGTGTACCAAATGTCTGATGAGGAGTATCCAGCAACACTCCACTGTTTCTAATGACCAAGGAGAGGCCTAATAATCTATAGTTAAATGCCTGAGCATCCCCTACAGGGTAATATTACAGTATAACTGAAATCGCTCAACTTATTCTGGAACACTTACTCAACTCTGGCAAGGTCATACCAGGCTTTCAAGTACACACTGCAACTATCTCAGGGGAAAACTGTATCAGATCTAGGAAGGTCCCTACAGGAGCAGTCTATAAAGTTAAGAAGCCAAACAACAGGGATTGTTCCACTTTTAAAAATCAGCTACAATAGCTAAAGACAAACTCATGCACACACCCATTCTGTCACACACACACACACACACACACACACACACACACACACAATGTCTAAATCATAGTTCTCTCTTACTTGCAAACTACTCAAACATGTCAGAATATGAGGAGATGGGGCCTACTTCACATCTCTTGTAATAAATTTAATAAATATAATAGTCTGATCCACATAATTTGGAAATCAAATTAGTCTCTTTAGGGCATTAGTGAGAAAATTTAAGTTTAATACCAAAGAGAAAGAAATTCGACAACCCAAATACTCATGAAAATAATTTGGGAACTCACCTTTCCACAACCAAACTGACAGCTTCTGTGAGATCTGGGTTTGTTACCTGAAGACGTTTCCACAAAGACCATACAAATTCTTTGTCAGCCTTAAAGAAAAAAAAGATATTTTAGGTGTATTGCTTTGTATTGATATCAAAGATAGTATTACATTAAATTTAAAAATGAAAAAATACAGATACTTGGTCCCTAGTTCTATTACTAACAAATTCATTGAAAGTATGGCAGGAAAGCATTATTTTACCTACACTGGTAAGCCACACTGAGTTTCAATATTCTTACCACCCACATCTTGGAATGTAAATGTTGAAATGCTAAATATCAAGGTAAATTAACTTTAAAAGGAAATTTCCCTGTAGCTACTGTTCCCTTTTTCAGCTCCCCTTTTCAGTAAAACTCCTCAGCTTCCCATAACGTCTCTACTTCCTGACCTCCCATTTACTCCATGTCTACCAATAAGATTTCCCTTCTCATCATTATGCTAAAATCACTTTCCTAGATCTTCTATACTGCCAAACCCAATGGACAATGAACAGTTTCAATCAGTATTGACTAGCTCAGTTGTTTTTAACTCTGGTTGACAGGAATCACCTTTGGGGAGCTTTTAAAAACCACTAATGATCTAGAGATTCTGATTAACTGGTCTCAAGTAAGGTCCAGGCTTCAGTACTTTTTGAAAGCTCGACATATGAATCTGTGTGCTCAGGGCTGAGAACCACTGCCCTACTTGGCCTCACACCAGTTCCATGGTTTTACACAGTATCCCTTCATTGAGACCTTCACATTTCAATGTCAGTGTCTTCTATTTTTCAGTCCAGACTTGTGTCTCCAATTGCCTGGTTGACAATTCCATTTGAATGTCTAGCAGGTACCTTAAATTTAACTTTTCAAAATAAAATTCTTGATTCCTTTCTCTTTCACAAACCTACCTGCCTGTATCTCAGAAAATGCCACTACCATCTACTCATTTGGTTGCTCTGTCCTCACACTTTTATTCAAACCATCAGTAAATACCCTTATTTGCAAAATATATTCCACTTCTAGCCTTTCCCATCACTTCCACCACTATCATCATAGTCCAAATCAATCCCATCTCTTGCTTAATTCTCTACAAGGTATTCACCTTACAGATCTAAACTCTCCTGTGGATTCCCATTAGATTAGAAAAATAATCCAAACTCTACCAAGACTACAAAATTCCATGTAAACCTCTCTAAGATCATCATCTATCACTCTCCCCTTTGTTCATGATGATTTTCTTATTCTACTTGAACTAGGGCCTTTGCACATAATATACTATTTATTCGATGTTAGAATTTTGATGGGATTGCATTGAATCTACAGATTGTTTTTGGTAGTGTACCCATTTTCACAATATTAATTCTGCCAATTCATAAACATGGGAGGTTTTTCCATCTTCTAGTGTCTTTGTCAGTTTCTTTCTTCAAGGTTTTATAGTTTTCATTGTAAAGGTCTTCACTTCCTTAGTTAGGTTTATTGTTATATATTAAAATTTTTTGAGGGTATTGTGAATGGGATTGTTTTCTTGATTACATTCTCAGCCTGTTCATTATTGGTACATAGAAAAGCTCAAACTTTGAAACATAGGGAAAATTCTTGAGGATGTAGGCATCGACAACACTTTCCTAAAAAAGATCCCAAATGCTCAAGAAATAAATGTGAAAGTTGACAAATGAGGCTGGCAGAGTGGCCTAATTGGTAGACTGCTGCCTAGCAAGCACAAGGCCCTCAGCTCAAACCCAAGTGCCACCAAAAGAAAAAAAAAAAGTGACAAATGGAATTGCATCAAATTAAAAACCTTGTGTACAATGAAGGAAACAATTACCAGAATCGAGAGGCAGCTTACAGAATGGGAGAAAATCTTTGGCAGCTATTCGTCAGATAAAAGATTAACATCAAGAATATACAGACCTCCATAAATTAAATACGAAAAGAACAAACAATCCCCTGAGCACTGGTGGCTCACGTCTGTAACCCTAGCTACTTGAAAGGCTGAGATTGGATCATGGTTTGAGGCCAGCAAACCAGCTTGGGTAAAAGGTTCACAAGACCCTCCCCCCAGCTCAACCAAAACCTGGGCCCTAGATTGAGATTAAGAGGATTGTGATTCTAAACTAGCTTGGGTAAAAAAGTTTGTGAGACCCCATCTCAGTGGGCAAAAGCTAAGCATGGTGGCATACACCGGTCACCCCAGTGACAGTAGGAATCATAAAATAGGATGATGGTCCAGGCCAACCTTTGCAAAAAGTGAGACCACCTCCAAAATAACCAGAGCAAAAAGGGCTAGAAGTGTGGCTCAAGCCGTAGAGTACCTGTTTCACAAGCACAAAGTTCTGAGTTCAAATCCCAGTACCACACCAAAAAAATCCAATTAATAAGTGGGACAAATTAACTTAATAGGCAGTTCTCAAAAGAAGTTAGAAATGGCTAACAGGTACATGAAGAAATGTTCAACACCCTTAATATGAGATTCCATATCACCTCAGTCAGAATGGCTATCATCAAGAAAACAAACAACAACAAATTCTGGCACTGTTGATGAGAATGTAAATTGGTGTAACTACTATGGAAATCAGTATGGCAGTTTCTCAAAAAACTGAAAATAAAATTACGATATGATCCTGCTATACTATTCCTGGATATATACGCTAAGGAACAAGTCAAGATACAATAGATGCCTGTTCACCTATGTTTCTATCAGCACTATTTATTCACAACTGCCAAACTATAGAAATCAGCCCAGATGCCAATCAACTGATGAATGGATAAAGAAAATGTGATACACACACACACACACACACACACACAATGAAGTGTTATTGAGCCATAACGAAGAATGAAATTATGTCATTTGCAGGAAAATAGGTAAAACTAGAGATCATCATGTTAAGTGAAATAACCCACACTGAGAAAGACAAACACATATTCTCTCTCAGATGTGACCTTAAGAATTCTAGACCTTAAGAATTAATGATGACAGAAGTATAAAATGGGGACTGTTGAGAGGTGGGACCAGTAGGAGTGGGAGGGGGCAAAAGAAAAGGGTAAAAGGAGATAAATATGATTTAAGTACTTTATACAAGTGCGTGAAATAGAATATTGAAACCTGGTAAAAACTGTTTGACAGTAGGAATGAGTAATAGAGGAATGCGTAATCGAGGGGGTGAATTTGAGTAAAGTACACTATATGCATGTATGGAAATATCACAATGGAACCCCTGTGTACAATATACATAATAAAAAAGGAGAGAAATCATTAGAAGGATGGTATAGTCATGCAATTCAAGTACTTTTGTTATACTGAAAATAACAAATATTCATACATTTATCAAAAACAAAGAGAAGTCATTCCTGACTACTACATGTATAACGGCTTTCAAAACTCAACCTGTTTCATTTTTTTTTTCATGGCATATTTCATTTACTAATCTTACATGTGCTTGGTTGTTTGGGTTTACTTGTGTGATAGTAAACTCAATTTGCATCTGACTCCATCACCCATTCTCTCCTTCTGGCTAACTATCACACAGATTTCTCTTGCCTTTTGTGCTATGCAACTAAGTTCTGCCAATGAAATATAAAGAACTTATAGGAAGTCTTAAAATTAGACTTCTGCTTACTAAATATGTCAGAAATAATTTTTCTGTTGTTGCTTATTTAATTTATTCATGGTGGAAATTTTCTTTAAAAAAGTAGCTATTAGTTTTATACATTCAAATTTATCCATCTTTTCCATTATGGGTTATGGATTTTATGTACCAGTTAGAAAGGCCTTTCTACACCAAGATTAAAAGCATATTTACCCATTGCTTCTTCTACAATATTTTCAACTGTCTTCTTAATTGACAAGTAAAATTATATATTAAAATTATATATATTTATGGTATATAATGTAATGCTTTGATATAGGTATACATTGTGGAATGACTCAATCTAATTAACACATTATTACATCATATATCCATCTTTTTTATGATAAAAAAACTTAAAATCTAGTCTCTTACCATTTTCAAGTATGCATTAACTGTAGTCATCATGCTGTACATTAGGTCTGGTAACTTGGGGGAAAGTATGTTCTTCATCTAGTAATAAAATGCTACAAATGGACTGTAGGAGTATTCTGAGTATTTTATATATATATATATATAAGCAGTGCTGGGGCTTGAACTCAGGGCCTACACCTGGAGCCACTCCACCAGCCCTTTTTGTGAAAGGTATTTTCGAGATAGGGTCTCGCAAGCTGTTTGCCCAGGCTGGCTTTGAACCATGATCCTCCTGCTTGCTACCTTCTGAGTAGCTAGGATTATAGGTGTGAGCCACCAGTGCCTGGCAGTATTTTAGATATTTAAATGCTGCATTATCTTCAATATGGATTATACCTCTGATTTACTAAACGTTCTCTTTCACATACAAAAAAAAAATCCCTACTCCCCCCCAAAAAAAACAGAACTCATTTCCAAACTGTTCCAGACACTACTGAAACAAGGAAACTATTATCAATCATATTTTCTTTATATTTTCCCTTCCTTTGGGCACTTAAAGATATTATTTATTATTAAAAATTTTTTAAATCTTTTTAAATTATTCTTTATTATCACTGCAGAACTTCCAAACAGAATGAAATAATTTGAAATTTAAATAATGTTTGTTAAACTCAGCCTATAAAATACTTGACTAAGTGCTAGGTATCTACATTTCCTTAGAGGTAGATTGGTTTTTGTCTTTTACTTTTCAGCTTGCATGGAAATAGACACCATCCAACAAACACACTTGAAATTGCCTTTTTTACTAGGTAATGAACTCTTCCAAAATCAAGCTTAGTATTGAAAACATACAGGCCTTCAGTTTATTTCTACTGCAGGAATGAATTCAGCAAACATCTGAAAACCATTTCCTACATTTAAACAAATAATTTGCCTATCAAAATCCAAAGAAAACCAAGGAAAGAGTTTATTGACAAAGTATGGCACAAAGTAGCAACTCTATAAATTTTCATGAAATATATATGCACAAAAAAGATACACCTATTAGAACAGGCTACTAACAATGGGAAGAGCCTAATTAAACAATAATTCTCAATTTTCCATTTCAATGCCTAAAGGAGGTTTCAACACATCTGAATTGCTAATACATAATATAACTGACTTAGTTCTCTGGTCATATACTTTTAATTCCAGTATCATGTGCTTCCAAAAAGTTATTTTCATCATTAAAGTTGGTAATGAACATACATTTCATTTAAATACCTTAAATAATTGTTACCTGAAACTGGCTTATAACTGTAGTAAATATTTCAGGCATTAAAAAGAATAAAAAAAGAATAAGCATTATAAATACTACATAAACATAATTTTTTCTCATCTGGTTATCCTATAAATGGTGGTAAATGTGCATACACATAACCCAGCATCTATTGTCACAAAAAGAATACATTCTTAAAAGATATAATCAAAATTAAGAATGTAATGGAGTTTAGGTCTGCATCAATGAAATAAAGCGTAAGTGTCCTGAAGCCAAAATTACCCTTTGGAACATCCTTGAACATTCCTTAGGGGAAAAGCTACATTTGGATGTTAACCTATTATCCTCAGTAAATCCAATAGACAGTTTTTCTCCCCACAGAGAAATTAATCATTATTTTCAGCAAAGCATTACATGTAGTTTGCATGCTAATCTAGGCACCACATGAAAAAATGTTTAATTAGATAATACAATCACACAAAGTGGGCTCAGACCATGTTAAGAGAAACATTTGGGGCTGGTGGAGTGGCTCAAGTGGTAGAATGCCTGCCTAGCAAGCGTGAGGCCCTGAGTTCAAACCCCAGTACCACCTGGGGAATTTAATTGAATTCCCCTAAGTTAAATGTGGAAGAAAAAAAAAAAAACTAACCTAGATGAAACTATTAATCATGTACTCATTAACAGGGCTCTTTCTCCTGCATGTTTGACCCATTTCTGGGCTGTTGAATTAATTTAGATCTCAATAGCATTTTTTTAAAATAAAGTTGGACTGTAATTTCTAGAACAATTTTAATACTATGTAGTCCAGGTGAATAAATAACTGGAAGAACTTTTGAAAATGTGAAAGTGAGAGTTTAACTCTTTTACAAAGCAATTAGGAATTCAATTATTTCTTATAAGTCTCCCCAAGAGCAGGAGTCTGTTTTGACTACAGTTTTATGATGCAGGTACTACCAACCTCATCTCATTTCACATCACTGGAATGCCTACAATCATCTAACAGTAAAATATTACAAAATGTCAAGAATCCTCATCCTAAAATAATTATCTTATATCTGCCTAGAGTATTGCAATCATCTATTTCCTAGTCCAGATATGCCCAAGGTCACAAAACCCAATGCTAAACAGACATGAAGACCAGTGGAACAGAATAGAGGACCCAGATATGAAGCCACACAACTATAAGCAACTTGTCTTTGACAAAGGCACTAAAAATATACGATGGAGAAAAAGCAGCCTCTTCAACAAAAACTGCTGGGAAAACTGGTTAGCAGTCTGCAAAAAACTGAAACTAGTTCCATGTATATCACCCTATACCAAGATTAACTCAAAATGGATCAAGGATCTTAATATCAGACCCCAAACTCTTAAGTTGATACAGGAAAGAGTAGGAAATACTCTGGAGTTAGTAGGTATAGGTAAGAACTTTCTCAATGAAACCCCAGCAGCACAGCAACTAAGAGATAGCATAGATAAATGGGACCTCATAAAACTAAAAAGCTTCTGTTCATCAAAAGAAATGGTCTCTAAACTGAAGAGAACACCCACAGAGTGGGAGAAAATATTTGCCAGCTACACATCAGACAAAGGACTGATAATCAGAACATATAGGGAACTTAAAAAACTAAATTCTCCCAAAACTAATGAACCAATAAAGAAATGGGCAAGTAAACTAAACGGAACTTTCTCAAAAGAAGAAATGCAAATGGCCAAAAAACACATGAAAAAATGCTCACCATCTCTAGCAATAAAGGAAATGTCAATTAAAACCACACTAAGATTCCACCTCACCCCTGTTAAAATAGCCATCATCAGCAACACCACCAACAACAGGTGTTGGCGAGGATGCAGGGAAAAAGGAACCCTCTTACACTGTTGGTGGGAATGTAAACTAGTACAACCACTCTGGAAAAACTTGGAGGCTACTTAAAAAGCTAGACATTGATCTACCATTTGATCCAGCAATACCACTCTTGAGGATATACCCAAAAGACTGTGACACAGGTTACTCCAGAAGCACCTACACACCCATTTTTATTGCGGCACTATTCACAATAGCCAAATTATGGAAACAGCCAAGATGCCCCACCACTGACGAATGGATTAAGAAAATGTGGTATCTATACACAATGGAATTTTATGCAGCCATGAAGAAGAACGAAATGTTATCATTCGCTGGTAAATGGATGGAACTGGAGAACATCATTCTGAGTGAGGTTAGCCTGGCCCAAAAGACCAAAAATCGTATGTTCTCCCTCATATGTGGACATTAGAGCAAGGGCAAACACAACAATGGGATTGGACTTTGAGCACATGATAAAAGCCAGAGCACACAAGGGAGGGGTGAGGATAGGTAAGACACCTAAAAAATTAGCTAGCATTTGTTGCCCTCAACGCAGAGAAATTAAAGCAGATACCTTAAAAGCAACTGAGGCCAACCGGAGAAGGGGACCAGGAATTAGAGAAAAGGTTAGATCAAAAAGAATTAACCTAGAAGGTAACACCCACGCACAGGAAATCAATGTGAGTCAATGCCCTGTATAGCTATCCTTATCTCAACCAGCAAAAACCCTTGTTCCTTCCTATTATTGCTTATACTCTCTCTACAACAAAATTAGAAATAAGGGCAAAATAGTTTCTGCTGGATATTGAGAGGGTGGTAAGGGAGGGGGTGGGGCAGGGGGGAGAAATGACCCAAGCCTTGTATGCACATATGAATAATAGAATAATATATATATATATATATATAAATGAAAAAAAAAAACCAATGCTATTTCGGGAGCCACACTTTTAAAGTATGTAATAGTAAATGTGTTTAGGGAAAGGGTGTTTTCAACAGACTAATTTCCTTAAATGAAATTATCTTAGTTCCTTAGCCATCATAACAATGGAAGGGGAAGGAAAGTATAGAAAATTTGGGCAAGGTTCTTAGGTTATGACTTTAACAAAAGCCTTTAGTGTGAGTTACATCTGTAAACTCCTCAAAGGCAACGTTAACATATCACAACAGTGTCTTTTATTTAGCCCTTTGATCTTTTGCCAGTGAAGAATTGAAAATGGTAAAGTGAAAAGGGGCCAGCCACCAAAGGTATATACCCCAAAGGTATATTCAAGTTGAACAAGATCGTCTTGTTTCTACAACCTGACTCAGCAAGGACCTATAAAAGGGACAAAGTAACCCAACAGAACAAACTACCTGGGAATAAACCTCATAGTTTACCAATGTAATCTAATGATACTGTTCACAGTTATCCTGATGTGGAGTTCTTAATTGTTATCTATCTTGAACAGTGACTTAAAAGACCTATTGTTGAGTTCTCAACATTTAACTTTCCTAACCCTGCTGAAAGGCTCTGGAAGAATCAGGGAAAAGATGATGCTAAGGAGGCAAAATTAAAGGAAAATTAAATCTCTATGAGCCTAAAGACGAGGAAGCTCATTCTTAGTATACACAAACTCTAAAAATACTAGCAAAGTAATGTTAGGGCAACTAATTCACCCAGGCAAGCTCACACACAAAAAAATGATACTTTTCATTCATGGACTGCAGAATTACAAGTTAATAAATGAGTATCGAGCATCATTTTGTCGAATGTGAAGCGCCTGGCTGGCAGACTTCCTTAAAAAAAAAAAAAATCATGGGTCTGTGTTTACAACTTGCATTTGACAGTGGTTTGAAAATTAAACACTGGCTACTTCATGGAGGAATTTTATTTTAACAAAAGTGGGTGCACTTTGCTGGGCACCAGGTACCACTACCGACGGACCCGGCCTGGAACTTGGGTGGGGGAGGGGTTGCGACTGTATCCAAGTGACAGAGCCACCCGCCCGGATGCGGGGCTGGCGGGCGTCCGCGGAGCGTCGGGGCGCGGAGTGAAGGCCGACGCGCCCGATTCCTGCAGCCCTGGCCGCGGGTCCCGGCGGGGCGCAGGCCGCGCTCCCCACGGTCCTGGCCCCGCGGAGGACGCCAGGCCGGCGGCGCGTCCTAGTACCTGACACAGGGCCAGCTCCTCCTTTAGGCTGCTCAGCTCTTCCTCCAGCAGCTGCGTCCGGGTCACCTTCGCCTCCTCTACCGAGATGCCCTCTAGCCGCCTGGACCCCATGGGCGCGCTGAGGAGGGGAGCGTGAGCCGGAGCCGCCCCCGCGGGTCCTCGCCAGCCCTCTGACCCTTCTTCGTCCCGCCACAATACATCGCACTTATCCGCGATGACTTCCCGCGCTGCGCCGGCGAGACCCGAAGCGTCGCTGCGCACGGCGTGTACCTCGGCTCCCCGCCCAATGCGCGGGGAACGGGGACCCAACCGTCGCGCTGGAGGCGGAGGGGCCACCGGCGAGGGCGGCGAGCGCGCCGCCATGGCCGCGGCTCCTAACGGGTCAAGTCCCCTCTTGGAAACTCCACCTCCCTTGCCCCATCCTGGCGATCCCGGAGCGCCGCGATGCGCATGCGCGAGTCTTTTCCCGCCTCGGCTCGCGCTCGCGGGTCCCGGCCGGCTTCTCGTGGGTCGCGCTCTGGACGGGAGCTGTGGGCTGCGCATGCGCCGTGGTCCAGGCGTTAGGTGGGTTGGGCGGTCGCTGTAGTTCCTTGCTCTGCCAGAGTTGCCTGAGTCCTTGGCCGGGAACGACCCCGTTTCCCAACCGTCTAAAACCCTACCCTCCACTTAGGACCTACTTTACATTCCACCTCTAAAAGCCTTCCTTGACAAGCCCCCAGCCCCAAATGACCCTTAACTGTAAATTCCTCCTCCTTCAAGGCCACTGCCAACTCGTTTGTCACGTTTCATTGACCGCCCCGAAGTGTTGGTTGCATGGCTAATCTCTCCACCGCTGTTGTAAGCTCCTTGAGGATCAGGGAATAGGTTTTAGACTTCTGTGTTTTCTTCACACCCCTTAGCAAAACTGCCTTACAGCCAGCTGATATCCGGATGACCGATGTCAAGGAGACTGGAAAGCCTTGTGCTGAGCTGGGACTGTCAAGAGGTTTCCCATTTGAATTATGATCCTTTGTATACCCGCCTTTTGCGAGAGTTATGATTTCCTCTGAGTCTTTATGTTGATTTCTTTAACCCTTGGCTGGTCCCACATTGTCCAACAGTTAGGGTCTTTGGACTAACTTGAAATAAGTGATTTGGTGTGTGGTGAAAGAAACAAGACCTACTTTATCCTTCTCTTTGTTCTCCTTGTTTCCTTCTTTCCTTCCTTACTCGTTTTTATTCTGTCTTAACTTGCTTTGTTTATAAACTTCAAATAAGCATTAACCTTCTTTATCTTTCAAACACTTTATTACTAAGTATAGTAAGGAAATGCACATTGAGCCCGCCACCAGGGTTTTACAAAAAACTAGATCTGCCCTTTCTTTCAGAAAAGGTCGCAGAACACTTGGTGATCTGAGGTGAGGATGGAGGTGGAAGTAGAAAAGTGACCAATTTAACTGATTACTTCAAAATTCTCTGCTCCAGAACTTAGTCAGTATGCCACTTCACACCCTCCCAATTAGCATCCTACTAAAGCAAGATGAGCAGACTTCCTTCCCAATGTAGGGGAAAACTCCAAAATTTATAAAAGGATTACATTAGAAAAAGTATGTGTAAGTTGTGTCTTAGAAAGCTACGGTACTATTTACCATAGGATGAGTCCAATGCTGATTACTTTTCACATATGAATTCATGCAATTCTTGTATCACCTTAAGTTTCATATAATTATCCTCAGTTTACAAGTGAAGAAACTGAGCCTTCAAAAGTTACTGTACCTTAACTCAAAAACTAAACTCCCAAAAAATCAATGACCCAATGAAGAAATGGGCAAATGAACTGAACAGAACTTTTTCAAAGGAGGAAGTCCAAATGGCTAAAAAAAATAAGAAGAAATGCTCAACATCCCTGGTCACAAAGGAAATGCAAATCAAAACCACGTTAAGATTCCACCTCACTTCTGTTAAATGGCTATTATAAAGAACACAACAACAAATGTTGGCAAGGATGTAGGGAAAAAGGAACCCTCATACACTGTTGGTGGAAATGTAAATTAGTACAACCACTATGGAAAACAGTATGGAGGCTCCTCAAAAAAGCTAAAAATAGAACTGCTATATAATCCAGCAATACCACACTTGGGGATATACCTAAAGGAATGTACATCACGTTACAATAAAGGTACCTGTACACCAATGCTTATAACAACATTATTCACAATAGCTAAGCTATAAAAACAGCCAAGATGCCCCACTACTGATGAATGGATTAAGAAAATGTATTTATATGCAATGGAATTTTATTCAGTAATAAAGAAGAATGAAATTTTGTCCTTTGTAGGTAAATGGATGGAACTGGAGAACATCATCTTAAGTGAAGTTAGCCAGGTTCAGAAAGCCAAAGGGTGGCATGTTTTCTCTCATATGTGGAATATAGACCCAATACAAATGCAAGCAACATTATGAAGAACAGGTCACTCTAAGGGGAGGTCACATATGAGAGGGAGGGTAAAAGAAGGAAGTTAAGAAGGTAAATATAGTTGATGTACTTCCTAAAAGAATAAATATAGATACCCTAAGAAGGGGACTAAGGTAGAAAGGAGAAAAATAGAGGTGATAAGCCAATTCAAGTTTTAATACATATATACATGGAAATGTCACAAAAATGTCAATATTTTTTACAAAAACGGAGAACAGGGAGGTAGGACAGGTCCTGTCTGGATGGCTGGTACCAGTGGGAGGGGAGAGGATACAAGGAAAGGGTGTAGGAGGGTAAATATGGTGGCAATATTATGTACGCATGTTTCTTTTGGGCAGCATTGGGGTTTGAACTCAGGACCTCACCCTTGCTAGACAGGCACTCTCTACCACTTGAACCACAACGCCAGCCCCAACACGTGTATAAATGGAAAAATGAGACCTGTTGAAACTATTCCAGGAAAATGGGGAGGGAGGTTAGGGGAATATGAGGGAGGAGGTGAATTCAACTATAGTATATTATAAGAACTTTTGAAATGTCACATGGTAACCCCAGTATAACAATTTTTTTTGAAAAAAGTTACTTGTTCCATGTCTGGTATTAGGAAAGCTAGAATTTGAATTCACTTAACTCCATTTAATTCTAAAAACTTTGATCTCTACCCTTACCCATCATTTGAAACACAGCATTAGGTCTGATAGCATGTATGATTTCACTGGACTTAAGGCTGGGATTTCTAACCACATAATTCACATCTCACTCAAAATCAATATGAATGCACTTTTTAATGGTTATTTGTTATTTATTTATTTTGCTGACTCTTGGCCTTCTTTGTGCCAAAGCTCCAAAGTTTCTTTGGACTGAGAAATTCTCAGTCCTTTGAATCATTGTTCTCCTATGTCCCAAATTGCTCTAGTCTTATTTCTTTTAATATTATCCTTATTTTAATGGCTATTTGTTGTCACTCAAAGGGTATCATTTCACCTGGTCACAGAAGGATTCTTTTGAAAAGCAATGAAATCTTTTATTATTTACAATACAATATATATACTTGGATATATAAGTGTATATATAATAGTTATGTAATTCCAAAAAGCATCACATCCTGAATCTATGACTAGGCAACACTTTTAAATTTTTTATTGCAGCAAAATACACATAATGTAAATTTTAATACTAAAGCCATTTTAAGTGACTATAAAGAACAATTCAGTGGCACTGATACATTCAACATTTAGATAAGAATCAAAAATGTCTAGTTCCATAATATTTTTATCACCTCAAACCAAAACCCATACCCATTAGTCCTTCCACATTCTCCCTTCCCACAAACCCTAGACAACCACAGTTCTTCTTTCTGTTTCTGTGGATATGCCTATTCCGAATATTCTAAATGGAACCATTATTCTATATAAGCTTTTGTGTCTGGTTTCTTTTACTTAGCATAATATTTAATGTTGTATCATGTATAAGTACTGCATTCTTTCTTTGCAGATTAAGTAACATTCTACTTTATGGATATATGTAATTTTGTAAATCCATTCTTCAAATAAAGGGCATTTGGATTGTATCCATCCTTTGCTTATTGTGACTAGAGTTGCCATGAGCTTACATACAGGAGTTTGTTTTAAGGCCTATGTTTAATTTTTTGTGTATATGTCTTGTGAGTGGAATTGCTAGAGCATATGATAATTCTATAGTTAAATTTAGGGACCCACCATGTTTCCTACAGTGGCTTTACCATTTTACATTTCCATTTGCAATGTATCAGAGTTCCAATTTCTTAACATCTTACCAACACTTGCGGAGGAGAGTTCTAGATTTTTTTTTGGATGTTCTTGTTATTATTATTATTGTTGCTTAATGGTCAACCCATTAGTGTTAAGAGGTTTCTAATTGTGGTTTTGATGTGAATTTTTTCCATTGACTAATGACATTGAACATCACTTCATGTACTCTTTGGATATTTGGATATTTGTTTATCATCTTTGGAGAAATTCTCTTGAAGTCCTTTGACTTTTTTTGTTGTTGCTGTTGTTCTTTAAGACAGGGTCTCACTATGTAGCCTCAAACTCGATATCCTCCTGCCTCAGGCTCTCCAATGTTAGGACTGCACTCATGTACCATCATGCACAACTCTTTGACCATTTTTTAAATTAGATTGTTTGACTTATTCTTGTTTCTTGTTAAGTTGCAAAAATTCTTTATTGGCAGACATCTTTAAGAATAGAAACATGCACATATCCAACAGTGTACAGAGGAAGTTCTTTTCTGTATTAGTTATTGGCTGAAATAAAAGAAACATATGAAACATTGAATATTAACACTTGTATCTCAGAAATATAAGTTAAAGATAAGGAGCTGCACTACTACCTGAATAAAAATGCCCTAAACAATCAACGTGTGTCCTATTCAATTATTTGTTCAAACATTTAAAAGTAATGTCTGTTCTGCATGAATAAATAATACAGTCTAATGAGAAAAAAGTGCATTATAATATAGACACACATAATTCTCTTCATATTGCCATTTTATACTTAAAACATGTGGGAAATGAGGAAGTGTACAAATTAATGTGGTATTTGGATGGCATCTCTCACTTTAATTTTAAAAACTTATTTTTAATTTATGCTTAAAAAGAGATAAAACGGAGGCACCGTCTCTTGGGACCCCCCCAACTCTGGGGGGGCTCTACTCTCCCACTTTATACTTTTTAATCTAAATAAACTCTCCTGCTTTCCACTAAAAAAAGAGAGAGAAAATGTGAAGTTTCTCAACTTTTATATTTTCATTGTTTCCAGAAACAATGCAAAATTTTAAGTCCTGTTAATTTCTCCTTTACCAATTTAGTTTCATCTCTGTTTGGTCAGTGAAATTTAATTGTTAAATTTTAAACATGGTGAGACCT